TTAGAGAGAATGGGTCCTGACTGACCATTTTCAGGCCCTGCTGTAGTCTCATGAGGTCTGTAGTGTATCACCAGCACGCTGCCATAGCCAGCTCAAGTAAATGAAAATGAGGTTTCCCTGACCTGGAGGTGCCATATCAGCCCAGTGCCATGGCTGTTTGTTTTGTTGTGACTTAAATATGGAAATAGGGGATTGTTCCTGTAGAAGGGACAGAGGTTGGTGTTGGAGAACAGAAATGTGTGCTTGGTTCACAGGGGAATTGGGATTTCTTCAGTCTGCAGGCATTGGAAGAAGTGCAAGGTTTTAAATAGGGTTATCTCTCACTGGCTCTGTGGAGGTACTGAAGAGGAGAACAGGCAAAAAATGCAAGGATTATTTGGGGGGCTGAGGAGAGCATGAATTCAAGGCCCAGCAATATAATGTTTGCAGACCCTTTGCATGTCGTCTATGCCAGAAGTATGATAAAGCTGGGCTGCACTTTGACCTTAAATTTTTGTTTTCATGCCTTTCTTAGGCATGAAATGTGATAATTTTGGAGTTCTAATGTGACTAATTCTTACTGCACTTAAAATAGCAGCTCAGTTACAGTCAGTATGCAGCAATGCATAGGAGTAAATGTTCCTGGGAAAAAAATTGTTAATTATATGAAGACAAGGGTCCATTATATTACATTGCTTTCCCATCTTTGTAATGCTTTGCCATGTTTTGCATGTCACTAATGCCAATTCTTCTCTGGCAAGCCTGCAGTTATTTGCATTACCATCCCTTGAAGGGGTTTATGTGAGAATAACTGCTGTGGTGTAGTGCAGGAGCACAAGGAGTCCATGTAAAACCTATGCCCTGGAATGTGAGCAGGAGATGCAGGAAACCTGTGTGAGTGCTCATAATGCAGTGCCCCTTCTCTCTTCATGTTGCCCTCTATTCCTGTAGGTGCATTTGATTTCTGCCAGGCTTTTCATGACCCCATGCAGCAGCACAGTCCCAAATTAATAAGGATCTGTGTTGACAGCTGCTTCAAAACCTTCTGGCATGTTTTGAGGATTTTTTTCCTCTTGTGCACTGGATGTTGGGTGTAGCACCCCAGGATTTCTTCTGGTGGTTGCTTTCCTGGGCAGGCTCGGGTAATCCCTGATTTTGCTTTCCTTTGCAAATGTATTGCTGCAAGGACAGGTTTTTGTTTACTGTTGAATTGTGGCTACTGAAGGATTGAAAAGGAAATGTCTCCTTGTTGTGCTCTACCATGCAGGAGAGCTGTGTCTAGTTATCTTCTTGAATATGACTTAAAAATGGCATTGAAATTGTGTTTCAACTGTGCTCCTTGTGCTGTAGTCATCATGACAATTTATATTAATTATGTGCTCTGGTTTTCTTTGCCACACACTGGCTGGGGTTTTGTTCTCTGCGCTTTTGTTATTGCGGGAAGGTTGAAGTTTCACCATCATGGTGCATCCACGAGTTACTTTTGAGAATTTGCACACCATCTGTGTGCAATAATAAAGCTTTTAGCAGCTCCAGATTGCCATGCTCGTGGTGGGGAGTGTGGATGAAAGCCAACCCAGTGAATTAAGGTCATGTCCCTACTGGGGACAGAAAGCAAGCTCTAGGTGAAAGGATCTAGACAATCCTTGGGAGAGGCATCTGGTCCTGGTAGCACTTTGGCAGTCACAGTTATGGCTGTTAATCTTCAGGCTTCCAGCCACTGAAAGGTAGCAGAAGACACATGAGGACTCACTCCAGGTGTTAACAAACACCTGCAGGAAAAATATTGCATGTTCTTGACAGGCATTGGTGGATGGAAAGTGGTGTTGAGTAGAAAACGTGTAAAGCGAACCAGACAGGCTAAAAAAGATAAATAATCATGATACAAAGCAAAGGAGACAACAGCCACAACAGAGAAATTTTAGAAAGGATTAATGCAACTATTGAATCTGTCAGTGGAGAAGTTCTTCATAATAGCAACATTAAAAACCTGACATTTACAATATTGAGGAGAAAATAAAAAGCTTTTGGATATAGGTCTGTGTGGGAGGAAGTAATGTCGAAAGGAAGAAGCCATGAACTGTTGTACCAGATAAATACACTATATTAAGAAAATTACAACATGAGAGGGACATCTTGTGGCACAAATAAAATAAAAAATAATAGTCTGGTGTCAGGAGGAGTATCCTGCAATGTTACCCCGGGGTCACCATTTCTGGGAGAAATCCCAGGCCTGGTAAGAGATTTTTAATTTGTTCCAGTCTTTCTTATAACAGGACTCCTGCTACCCACCTTCTCATCTTCCCACCTTTTTGTCTCCATGAGACGAGGATTATAGAACACAGACGTTCTACCAAATATACTTGTCTGTCTTGGTGCAAATGATGTTAGTTTTTAATGAAGAAATAGATTAAAATGTCACTGCCGTTATCTGACTGAATGTGTTGTCATCGGTAGCATAAAATGTGACAGAACCTTAGCTGTGGGTGGATAACGCTTATTTTCCACTTGTATCACCATCATATTTCCATATGTTCCTATAAATTAAAAAGAATACATTGGATTTTCAGGAGGACAGAGGGCCATGACTGTGTACAGTCAACTGAAATGGAACCTACCGTGCATCTGTGCATCACGGTGTACAATGACGTAGCCTTGTCAGTGTGCCTGAACCTTGAGATTCCTTCTTTGATTAGTTTTGATCACATGGTGATAAAAGTTTAATTATCTTTTACAAGCAGCAGTTTTCCCAGGAGTTGTCATTGTAACTTTGAATAATTTCTGGAGTACTTTTCATTGCCTTAGACGAAGTGGTGCTGTACCGTGGTGTAAAGTGTCTGCACCACTGCAGTGTTTTCAGTCTCGCGGACCTGAGCCACCTCAGCCACACGTTTTGGTGTCTTTAGGAACGGTTCTCATGCTGGGCTGGGGGTGCACCCAACCAGAGAGCTGGGGAGCAGGCACTGCACCCCACTTACCTCCTTCCAGGTGCATTTTGCTTCACCTTCTGGTGCACGGGCAGGAGGAGGTGGAGCTGCTGCTGGTTTGGGTGTTTTAAACAAGCAGGAGTGAGCTGGCAGGAGCCCTGAGTGGAGTCATTGCTCTCAGCTTCAGAGAAACAATAGAATGTCAGTTAAAGGAAAAAAAACAGACGTGGCTCTATTACAGAAATACCTCGGCTCTAAGGGCGTTAAGCTTTTCATAAAAACCTGAACACTGGGGAGTTCTTGATTACATGGTGCATCTTCTTCAAAAATTTCAGCAGCCAGATGTTGTTTTGGTTGGGCTACCTTGTTTTTATGTATCTGACATAGAAAGTTGAATGTATCAACATACTGTTTATAATGTGTCTATTTGTGCCCAGGGATCCAGAAATACTATTTGAATCAATCGGTATGTAAATCATTCTCTGCTTTGGAAAGATAGGAGATCATTTCTCCAGCAGTAATTCAATCATAGCTTGTTTTTTGTCAATCCACAATACCCTGGCCTAAATTTAATTCAAAGTTTATGTTTCCTAGCTACAGTTCTAGTACTTCAGTTGCCATGAGTAGAAACACCATAATTTTTTTTTAAAAAAGGTGGACAATTGTAAAGAGATCTTTTTTGGGTTAAAGATAGGCCAGAACCCCCATATTTTTGTTTTCAGGCATTTGTACAAGACTAACTAAAAATCTGCCAAGTCATGCTCTTGTCCAGCACAGATTTTTTTGCCAACACAAGTGTATCATGAAATGTTTTTTGTACTTACTGGTCAGCTAAAAACCTGAGAGTTGCAGCTTGATTGCTTTGGCATCCACCCCTTTGGCGTCAATTAATTTCCCATTAGATATTCTGCAGAATGACCAACATTTATCTTAGATTAAGAAAACCTTGAGTCTGTTGGTATTGGTTGAATTCAGAGTGTGGACTTAAGCTTGTAAGGATGCCAGTTGCACACTTTCATGTCTGACAATGATTTTAATTGTTGGAGAGCTTCACTCGAGTTTTTTACTGGTTTGATCCATTCAAATACAAATTCCTGTAGCAAGGGCCTGTCCTAAGCGGTGGCAGTGGAGCAGTCTGGTGCCAGGGTCAGAGAATGAGCTCCCACATACCTGGGAATGTGTTTTCCAGCCTGTCAGTTGGAGCTCTTGACAAACAATAAACAAGAGCCGTACCTTGTTATGCCTCTCTGCCTTCAAAGAGGTTTTTCTGGTTAAATAGTGAGATGGTATTAACTTAGGGTGTGAATACAAGTTTAAGTGCTATGCTGTGAATGTCTCGCGTCTTTACTGGCTGGAATGTCGCTGGGTTTTCAGTTTTGGTGTCCGATGTCCCAGGGACTGTCAGGGACAGCGATGCCTTTGCGTTCTGTGTGTGTCTCTGTGTATGGAGGGAGGTGCCTGCCTACCTGGAGCAGCATCTGGATTAATGGTGGGACATCGTTCTCAGCTTTGCCCTTGGTTTCGGGCGTCTCCTGAGCGACACACACTACACCTAGGAAAGGCACGTTTATTCCAGAATAGGTATTTCCCCAAAAGGGCTGGCATGGAGAAGCCTTTAAGTGACGACGAACCGCGTGAATTCAGGGCGGTGATGGACGGCTGGCGCTCGCCGTGCAGGGGTGCCGGAGGAGGAGCGGGCTGCGCGCTGGGTGTGTGTCTGGGTGTGTGTCTGGGTGTGTGTCCCTGCGGCACCGGCGGCCACGGGCAGGGCCGGGACCCGCGTGCGCTGCCGGGGCCGGCGGGGTCGCGCCGGGTGAGGCTCCCACCGCCACCGGCCGCCCGTGGATCCGCCTCGCCGAGCGCCCCCGCAGCGCGAACCCGCCTTCCCCGGGGCTGCGGCCGGCGCTGCCCGGCTCCCTGCGCGCCGGGGCGGGCGGATGGGGGCCGGGGCTGCGGCCCCGCTCCCCGCCGGGTCCCCGCCGCGCCGCGCCCTCCCCCGCGCTCCCGCCGCCTCCCTCCCCTTCCTCCCGCCTCCCCGCCCCCGGCTCCGCATCGCCGCGGCCGGAGCACACGCCGCCCGCCCGAGGATGCTCCGCGCTTTTGTTCCCCCGCCGCAGGTAGGGCCGGGGCGGCGGGGCCGGGCTGGCCCCGGGCCGGGCGGGGGGCGGCGGCGGGGCCGGGGCGGCGGCGGCGGCGGCGGCGGGGCCGGGAGAGGCGGCGAACAAAAGCGCCGTGCAAAATGGAGCCAGCGGAGAAGGGCTGGACCCCCGCCCTCCCCGCCGCGCATCCCCCCGCGCGGCTGCCGGGGCTCCGGGGAGGCGGCATCGCCTCCCGCTGCTGCCGGCGGGGCGTGGGGAGCGAGCGGGGCTGGAGCCGGGGCCGGCGGGGAGCGCTGAGCAGGGCGTGGGGAAGGAGGGGAGCGGCGGAGGTGGCAGCGCGGGGGAGAGGCGGTTCTGTAAAACACTTTCCCCTTCTCTCTGTCAGCCTTTGGGAGGACTCTCGTCCTGACTCGGTGGAGGTTCCTCTCCCTCTTCCCCCAGCCCCTCATCCCTCCTCGGCGCGGCAGCCCACCCAGGAGGGCATCAGTATCAGCTCTCTCCGGTGCGCCGGGGAAGTTGCTGACATGCCTGCCGCTGGGTCCCGGTGCACCGGCAGCGGCGGGGAGCCGGATTTAAAGGGGAATTGTGCTGCAGACAATGCACAGCAGCAGCATCTGGAGCAGCCCCGGGGACTGGAGCTCCGGTTTTGACATTGCTGCACACACAGCACCAGCCGCAATGACAGCAGCTGCCTGGAGTGGCTGCAGGCAGCAGGCAGGAGCATGAAGTAGAGATCACTGCAGTGCTCAAGATGAACTCCTCTTTGGTTGGCAACCAGAGTGGCCGGCCCTTCTGTCTCCTGGCCATTAGCTATTTGGAGACTATCAATTTTTGCCTCCTGGAAGTGGTTATTATTGTGTTCCTCATGGTGCTGATTATTTCGGGCAACATTATTGTGATATTTGTCTTTCACTGTGCACCTCTGCTGAACCACCACACCACCAGCTACTTCATCCAGACTATGGCGTATGCTGACCTCCTGGTGGGCGTGAGCTGTCTGGTGCCTTCTTTGTCTCTGCTGCACTATCCTATTGTTTTAAGTGAGTCCTTGGTTTGCCAAATCTTTGGTTATGTGGTATCAGTGCTGAAGAGCGTCTCCATGGCCTCCCTGGCCTGCATCAGCATTGACAGATACATTGCCATCACGAAGCCCCTGACCTACAACACGCTGGTAACCCCATGGAGGCTGCGAATCTGCATATTGACCATTTGGCTCTACTCCTGCCTGGTCTTCTTACCCTCCTTTCACTGGGGAAAGCCTGGATATCACGGAGATGTGTTCCAGTGGTGTGCCAATTCCTGGAACACCGATCCCTATTTCACCCTCTTCATTGTGGTGATGCTCTACGCCCCGGCCGCTTTCATCGTGTGCTTCACCTACTTCAACATCTTCCGCATCTGCCAGCAGCACACCAAGGAGATCAACGAGCGGCGGGTGCGCTTCAGCTCGCAGGACGGGGAGGCGGGGGAGGCGCAGCCCTGCCCAGACAAGCGCTATGCCATGGTCCTGTTCCGCATCACCAGCGTCTTCTACATCCTGTGGCTGCCCTACATCATCTATTTCCTGCTGGAGAGCTCCAATGTCTACAGTAACCGTGTCGCGTCCTTCCTGACCACCTGGCTCGCCATTAGCAACAGTTTCTGCAACTGTGTCATTTACAGTCTCTCCAACAGTGTCTTTCAGAAGGGGCTGAAGCGTCTCTCGGGGGCCATCTGTGCCTCGTGTGCTAGACAGAGGGTAGCTAAGGACTCCTCTACCTCTAGGAGCAAAAGATCTTCCAATGGCTGTCATGTCTAGGACGCCTGTCAGCTGGACTGGGAAGTGCAGGGACAATTGTGTAGATTGCAGAATAACTTAGATATGATTTTAAGATATCCAGATTTGCAAAAAGGTTTCTGAGAAATGCTGCTGACATAGAAGGATCAGGAGCACATATCGTTGTGGTTTCACTTTAAAAAATGGTTGCTGTGGAGGAGGCTGTGGAGTTTCACCTCCACATTCATTTTAAAGAATAAAGCTGTATCTTGACACTTACCTCTCCAGCTGGTGTGACTGAATGGAGTGGGTGTCTGAGAGCTTCGGCAAAATCTAGTTCTTTCTTACAGCTTTACTGGGTTCTTTGGAGATTCGTGCTTCACATGTAAATGATAGATCTGAAGTGGAAATGTCACAGTCTATGGTATATTACAGGGATTTTTAAAATATATGCCAAAGTATATTGACACAACGTTCCAGCGTCAGAACAGAAGGGGCCAAACAATTTGTTTTTCAGTGCTACCTAGACAGGACTTGTAGAACAGGAGTGACCAATGTGAACGTTTCAGTGTGAACTCTGTTAACGAGCCGTGAGTGCAGCCATGTGGTCTGGGCAGTCATTCTCCTAGGGCTGATCTGGCTTCCGTGCCCCGTTTCCCTGGTAGGATGCATGTTTGGATCAGAGTGTGGCATCTGCGTTTTCCTGTTTGCTGTGAAGTAAGAAGAAAAACTTGGATCAGACCAAATTTAGCAGTTAAATAAAATGTGTTTTGATAAGCTAAGAGAAAATACGTGTTGCTTTATGATACCAGAATTGTGGCAGCCACTCAAGGATGATGCTAACATGTGAAAATTGTTCTCAAACCAGTGGAGAAATGCCGCGGGTTTGTATGTGGAAATTTTCTCAAGAACAACTTTAAAAATAACATGTCCCCCTTTTTTTTTTTTTTTTTTAATCTAAATTCTTCTGATATTTTACATACTGGAACTTAAGGGGAAAGGAAAGAAAACAATTGTCTTCTAAACAGCTAAGGGAACTATGTTGTAAATTTAACTGTAGTATTTGAGTTATTCATAAGTGCACAGAGCTAAATCAGAGACATTTTTCTTTAGCCTTCATGGGATTAAAGATGGTTCAAATATAGCAGGAGCTAAATCCTGTTGGCAAAAGCATATCTAACTGGTCAGACAAAGGCAATATATGAGGAACCAAATCTCATTGACCACAGCTTGTTCAAGCTAGCCTAGATTAAATGTTTTGAATACTGTCATGCTGTTAAGAAGGCAGAATGGCCCTCAAATTGTTGCGTTTTTCCTGAAGAATGTCCTTGTCTTGTTATTGATGCCATTTTAGAAATGAAAGTGAACCGAGTATTCCTGTAGTGGGGGATTGCAGTGTCACCCTGTCTCTGGTGCAGGGCTCTCCCTCTGTCTGTCCTGCTCTGAGAGCAGGTTGTGCCCCCGACCATCCACCCTCTGTGCCCCTCCTTGTGCTTCCCGTCACTGCCTTGGGCTGCTGAGTGGGGAATTCCCTGAGCTCCTCTGCTACAGCTGGTGTGCTCTTAGTCACAGTGGGAATGAAAAAAGGATAGGGAAAAATAATGTGGTATTTTTAGAATTGGGGTAATTCTCTTGGCCAAAGGGAAGGCTCTGTTTTTGTTAAATGGTTTCAAGTCTGTGTTGTTCTAGATCAAGATCATATTTTTAATACTCTGCCCTGTTCCTCCTGCAAACTCCCCCACCCTCTGCTGTGCTGTGAGCCCTGGCATCTCCTCTCTATGCCTTGCCCTGGAGGATACCAGCTTGTCTCTGCCTCATCACATGCCACGATTGCTACAGCCCAGCCCTGCTGCCCATCCACATTTGCTCCAGTACAGTCTCGTGGGGCTGCCAGTGAGGAAATGGGGAAGGAGAGAGAGCAGCAGGATGAAGCATTCCTGGCATGGCACATATTTGTCAGCACTCAGTGCTGGTGCATTTGAGTTGCTCTCCTGGATGTGTGTGTAGCTGTTCAGGGGAGGATGGGGCAGAGCCTCCTGCTCCTGCTGCCTCCTGCTGTTGGAGGGCCCTGGGGCAAAGCATTTCAGTGGCATTTGATCAGCTTCCAGCAGATTTCATCCCAAATCACTCCAAACCTCTCAAGATAAACATCCTCTTCAGTTCATCTGAAATTTTAAGAGCACAGGTTCTCTAACCCCTGATGCCTTCACGCCACCATTTCTTGCTCTCTTTGTAGTGAAGAGCAGAGAGGGGTTGGTGCTGGATCGTGCAGACACGCCCGGGGTGCTTTGCTTGGTTGCCCACAGCCAGCCTGGGGGGAGCACGGGGCTGCAGTGACTCACTTGCAGAACAAGTGGCATAATAAGCTGTCAGCACGTTGTGGCTGATTGTCTGGGGTGCTCTGTGGGTACGATGGCAAAGGTGGGCTTTGGGGAACAATTCAAGGGCTTCAGTCACTAATATCAAAGTGTGTGTGTGATATTTTTGGAACAGCCTCTCAGGTAAACTCCCCGTAGCCTTTCTCTGAATCTTCACCTTATCTAACATTTCCAAATCTTTGAAATGATGCAGTGTATCGTTGGAATAGCATTTGATTAAACTTTGTAGAAGAGAAGAATCTACTGGGGCCTGAAACCATAGAAATGGCAGTTTCAGGTTTAAGTAGAAGCTGGAAAGCAAAGGTTGTTGCTTTTGGTGTTTTTAATGGCTAAATAGAGGGTTTAAATAGGAGCATTGTGTGCCAGTTTTTGAGAATTTTGAAAGTTTTTGAAACTGGTAAGGGGTCTAAATCATGGCATAGATATTTAACTGGAGCTGAAGCAGTTGCTCCTTCGGCCCTGAGCCTGGAATTGCACTTGGAGCGTGGTGGCTGATCCAGATGCAGATGCATTCTTGCAGCTGTTGCTGCTTTGCAGCAAAGGTTCAGTTCTAGCATTCCTGACAGCCAGGCTGTTTTCAGTTGCCTTACTCATCTCCAAGTCTTCCTCAGCTCAGACATTTTCTGTAAGAGGTGAAAATCAGAATCTGGAAGTCTCCAAGAGATTAGGATGGGGAGGAGTTGCAGCCAATTGATGCATTCAAGTTTTATCCACTGTACAGACACTTTCAGTGTTGCCTCAGTAGCTTAGTTTTAGTGTCAAATATTTCTCTTTTTGTCTGTATGTTAATTTATTGATATTTTAAAAATTTAAATTGTGTTATTTCCCTCTTAAGTTAATTTAATGTCAATGTAATATGTGTAGTATGTGTTTCGATGTTTTAAATATTTATAACATTTGAGCCTGTTGTCTTCAATGAAATTGCAGGGAGTGAATTCTGTTCACTGTGGGGAAAATAATTTGGACACACGTGACTTTGTTTCTCAGCAATGCATTGAACACCTTTTGTCATGCACCCAGCACAGGCACAGGGCTCCTTCCCATCACAGTCCGTGCTAGGAATGGTCAGGCAGCAAACTTTGCAGCTGGGTCATTTTCATCCTCCACATGTGAAATGAAACTGTGTTTGTGTCTGGGTGCTTTGGAAATCAGTGGTGAGAGCATTGCACAGATAAATGCCACGCTGAGGAGAGGACAGAAATCAAATTGCATCTTCATAAAAATGGGGTTGTGATATGATTGAATGAACTAATTTTGAAGTTCCATCTCAGACAATAAATTTATTTTTTATTAGAGTTGTATGCCTCACTTTCAAATTAAGCTGCTGGAAGGTTTAATTTGCAAGATGCAATTCAGTGGCTTTTTTCAGTGCCATGGGAAGGATTTCTATACTCACAGCTTCTCAGAAGATGGTAATTTGCTTCATGGATAAGTCCTTTTATTATTTTTTTTTTTAAAGATTACTGGAAGTTTAGGTTGTGATTGTCATTTTCCAAATATATTGAGGAAATAGCTGTGAAATATTATTTTTTTTATGATCTCAATCAAGGAACAGTATTTTTAAACTCAACAGAAATCTTTTGTGTCAAACAAAAGTTTTGCTGTTTGTCTGCCGTTAATATTTTTGTTAAATGTTACCTGTTTCTGCAGTCTTTATTTGTTGTTGGGGAGTTTGTACTTGTTTTTAAACTTCTTATCAGTCAGAAATATGTTTCTACTACTTGGAATTGTGACATGGTTCAGTGTCAGAGCGCCCAAGGGGCAGTTTTGGGTATTTGTCACAAGTCTTTGACAGGAAGAAAGGGGTACAAAGTACCGAGGCACAGAGACAGAGAATTCCCAAAGGCATTGTTCCCTCCAGCTCATGTACAGGCTTTTTATGTGTGAGAACCCTAAATTTCAGTTTGTCTGTTCTGAAAAAAAGACACTTCCAAGGCCTGGATGTGATAGGAGATGGAAACATTCAGTGTGCAAATCCAATATGCAGATTTTTTGCTATTTGTCGTGGTGTTCCCAAGTGCTGTGATGATCAGGGCAGTAACTCCATTAGGAAGTCTGAAATATTTCAGTCTGATCTTACTTCACATCAGAGTTTGAAGTTGACAGAACTTCTAAGTCAGATTGGTGCTTTAAAAAATATTTCTTAGGAACCAGTATGTGAGCACAGGAATCTGCCTTCAGACTTGACAAACAAAAGACCCTTCTAAATTTTTTCCAATTCATCTGTTTTAGATAACTTAATAAAAGGAGGTGAAGGTTTTGGAAGGCTTTTTTTTGTTGTTTTAGTACATGTTTAGTTCTGAGTTTTTAAGCACCTGCTGAAACTTTTGCCTGACTTGGCCCTTATTTTATTGCTTGGTTTAGAAATGTTTCTTCTTCCCTTCCATGACTCTGCAGAATACAGCACATCCTTCCCGTGGTGTCATTCAAGATAAACTCAGATTTTAATCCCAAATTTGTCCAAATGTTATCTTTAATATTCCCTATACAGTGAATGTTGTTGTGTGTATGGAGCTGTGGGGAGGCTGCAGCTGGTCAGGTTTTACAGACTGTGTCCAGCAAAGCAAACAGTCCCTCTTTTGGGGTGGTGGGAGAATGTCCCATTTTCACTACAGAGAAATATATTCTCCTGGCTTCTAGGCCAGTGTCTTACTTGTGTTGGTATTTCCATTATTGCCTGTGCTTTGCAGAGGTGCTGCTTCAAAAGATGTTCCTGCACATAAGCAAAGGCATTTAATATTAAAGTTACATTTTTGGAAGGGGATAGTCTTCAAAATTAAAATTTAGTGAGTGTAGGACCAGGTGCAGTTGTTCTTAGAGAAAGAAACTGAAAGTTGTGGCTGATGGAAACAAAGAGAGGAAACGTGCTCGAGGTTGGTCAAAACAATGGAGTATTTAATGTGGGTCATTTTCTTTACAATACACATTTCTTTTAAATATGGAGTTTAACCTTCTTGCTTTTGCTTTGCTGCTCTCTGGAGGCAGCTCCTCTGAGCCTGGGGTCTCCCACACCCACCCCAGGGGGATTCCCTGCAGACCTGGGGTGACGATCAGCCCCTCATTTGAGTTCAGGTGGTGTCAGTCCATGTCACTGTTGTCTGAGCTGTTCCAGCCACAGGGAGTTGATCTGGTGGGATGTACTTTGTTTGGTCAGCTTTTCTGGGTTTTGTCCTGTGACATTATTTCCTAGACAGGTAAAATGTTTGTTTATAGAGGCAGCTTTGCTGATGGCTTTCCACACAATATTGAGTTCTGTCATCTGTCAGTTCTTATCCCATTGCAGAGTGGAGACCAAGCCCCAGTCTGTCAGCTCTGCAGGCATTCAGTGTGGCTGCACATGGAGGTGTTTGTCTCACCCATATCCCATTTGCATCTCCTGAGCTTTAGCAGTTAATGGAACATGAACAGAAGTGATGTTCCTGGGTCCTGGTCCAGTTGTTTCTTTACATCTCAGATGTCCTTCAGCAATCTGTGCAGTCAGAACTGATCCTCATGCTGGTGATTTTGTGGTTGTTTCAGCTGAGAAACAGAAGTTGTTCAAGTTATCTTGGTTTTATCCTGGAGCTGTTTTGGGAGAGTGCTGCAATCCTTGAGCTGATCACAGGATGTGCAGGCTCAGCTCCAGGGGAGCCCAGGAGGCAGCAGGTCCCTGTGGGACAGACCTTTGGTGGGTTGGTAACCAGTGGCTTTGTTGGCTGGGAAGGTTTAACAAGAGCTGAGTGGATGCACACTGCATTAGATCATGTTTAGAGCAGGGGTTTGGAGAGACACCCGTGTTTGGAAGGAAAGGTTGGGGAAGGCTCCACCTGCCTGTACATGAGGCCTGAGGTGCAGCACAGCAGGGTTGGAGCAGAGCAGGCAGTCCAGACTTTCTGTTCTGATTTCTATTTATGAATTTGTAAGATGAGGATAGCAATTTTGTAATTCAAAGCTTCAGCTTCTTTCTGATGGTCATTACTGGAGATCCTTCCATTCAAAGGTGAAATAAATTTGAGTGGCTCCTCATAAAGATGAACTCAAATCTTGCTGTGCATGTGAGAGTCATTCTCAGTGTTACACAGACCACGTGAACCAAGCAATCAAATGCTTAATAAACCAAGTCATTACTTTTATGGTAAATTGAAAAAAGTTCTTCTGGGATTTCAACTGTAAATGAATCCTTGAAAATCAATAATTAGATTAGTAAAGGATGACGTTTTAATATGCTGGCAGGAATATAGAGGGATTTGTCAGGGGAAGCAAAACCAGACTTTGCACTAAAGTGGCTTAGGTATATTTATAGTGCTAGTGGTTCTGTGTGTGTGTGTGTGGGATCTTTGGACTATTTTAATATAATGTAAGGCTTTGAGCTTTAGCAAACTCAAGTTGCTTGTTTTATGAAGTTACATTAGTACCACACTGTGAAGTATTTTTAAATATTATCATTACTGAGTATTAAAAGTATTTCATAAAAAACATTTTTTAAAACGTTTTCTGTAGATGCTGTTGAATGAATTGATGTTTAGTGTACAAAGAAATAAAACCTGAGGGCTGTAAGGTACCTGTCTGTTTCTGATCACCTCGGTTTTTGAGGGGTTAGGTATTTCTTGAGGTTAAATTGTCATTAAAACCGACTAAAAATACTGGTGCAGTTAATCCTTTCAGAGAACAGAAAGCAGCATTACCTCCAGCCACGCTTTTGAACTGTCTGAAAGGATTTGCAATCGTTGTATTGTCTTGACAGACTCATGTCTTTAGAAATGCTGTACAGCACAGTCTTTTGCAAGTTCCTATGCTGATACATTTCTCTCCATATGTAATCTTTGAAATCTAGTTTCTATTGTAATTCTAGCATGTACACACTAGATTCAATTTTGTATTCCTCTAATGAATGCAACAGGATGGAAACACGTTTGCAATTGCTAATGATGAGCTTTTTTACTGTTCTTAATACTCGTGGGTATGTCTTTTCTTCAGGGATTTCAGAATTGTACTTGTACCTTTTAAATTGTTTTCTTCACATGCTGTTTACAATTAAACCACGAGCATGGGAGGCTGTGCGTGCATGTGCTTTTAGGTTGCTTTGCTGAATGAAATACAGTGGAGTGATCTTACTTTAAAACCTCTCTGTTTTGAGAGGCTGTAGCTGTCCCTGGATCCCTGGGAGTGCCCAGGGCCAGGCTGGACAGGGCTTGGAGCAACCTGGGAGAGTGGAAGGTGTCCCTGCCCATGGCAGGGGTGGAACTGGATGATCTTTAAGGTCCATTCCAACCCACACCACTCCATGGCTCTGTGATGCTCATTTTTCCTTGTGTCCCACCTGTCTCCTTGCACCTTTCACAACTTTCTGGTACAGCAGAAGCCACCAGTGGGGTTTTTCTGGTGTATTCTGTAGAGATCTGACATTGTCAGAGGTTGTTGTAAGGAGTTTTGTTTGGGAGACGATGCATCTCCTTACACAAAGTAATGTTCCAGCTGATAGTTTTTTCCTGAATGTCAGTGAAAAGGCCAAGAGTAGATGAAATCACAGGTGAGAATGTGTATGTGTGTGTTTGTAAAAATTTTGTGCACCTTTTAATGCTGGAAATTGTTTTGTATTAAAAGATGAGAAAGAGCTGTGAGTGTGGAACCCCTGCTAGGAAGAACTACAGAAAAACTTTCACCAAAGCAGCTTAGAAAAGCAAACAGGTGAATTAGAGGCAGTCTGACCCTCAAGACTAATTCTGGTTTAGTTCTGACACGGTGATGACTGTCTGGGTGGGCTCCTCGATGGCCCTTGGCTCTGCTGGCTCTGCTCTGGCTCAAACAAGGGAGGGGTGTTCTCATGCACAAGGCAGCTGAGGAGGAGTTGATGTTGGGGCTCCAGAATTGTCTGTTTTGTGCCAATTCAGAACTGTTGTTAAAATACAGGGGAGAGGGGTTCTGCCACCCCATGGTTTTAATAGACATTTCTGTAGCTGATTTTTCAACTAAGACTAATAATAAGAAAAACTACAGTTGAGCCAAAAATGACTAATGTTACTGAGTTAAAATAATACTTGCATATTTTTAATTATTAAATGGAACTAGATAAATCGGAAGCATGTAAATATCTGATTCTAAATCTTTGCATAATTATTTCCAAGAGGTAATTTTGCTATGAGCTATTAAAACTCCAAGAAATGTATTATTCCCTTTTGAGATGGTGTGCACCCCAGCTGTGTCATACATCTCTTGGCTTGTTTCCTTTTTGCTGTAGATGTACATACATATATATATCCGTGTGCTGTGCAGTTGTACAGTCACTGCCATGTTAAATTGATTGCTTTCAAATGAGTATATCTGTGTATTTTACGTATGTGTGTATATGTATCCCCAAACAAGCAGTTTAGCAGGGCAGTGCTTGTACAGTCACAGAGTTTAGGGCTTTGTACAATATGTAATTTTAAGAATGTCAATGTGGTTCTTAGCGGATTTTATAAACACTTTTCTGAATCTGTTATCAGCACTTCCCATCCTATGAAAAACTGCACATTTTTCAGTGATTGTTCCACTGGTTACATTTTTGTCTGCCATTTGTTCTGGATTGATGTAATCTTGATACTACTAAAATTTCAAGGGCTGTTGACGCATTTCACATAGCCTGGGATTGCCTGTTCTCCAAATATATGGATCATGCATCAACAGTACTAAGTAGCCTTACTGTTTTGCCTAAAAGCCTAGCTAATTTATTTAGTATTCTCTCTTTAAAGAGAGGTCTCTGGAAGGGGTGCATATTTTAGGATGCTCCTTCTCTTTAAAGGGAAACTCGGAATTGACTAGCAGTACTTGTTGATCAGTGATATTATTGTAGCCAAAGGATGCATGGGTGGTTTAATAGGAAGTTTTTGCTTCAAGTTTCTTGATGAAATGTAGTGTTCTACAGAGCTGTGTGAAGAGTGTAGTTTTTTATTCTGAAATGCACTTGTACACTTTATTTGAAAGGTCTGAATGGATCATAAATACATTTAAGAAATAAATGATACGTCACATGTTTTCACGGCTTGTCTCAGGTGACTTTTCTGTTACTGTGCTGCTAAAGGTGTGTGTTCCTTGGCTCTGGGTGGGGCTTTTCCCCTTATCTTGATTGCTCTAAATAGTCTTGTAGTGAGTGCAGGGGCAGGAGAACCTTCCAGCCTGGTTGGTGTTTATGCTTTATCCATACATGCTGCAGGGCACTGTAGGCAAACTCCTGCTTTAATTTTCCTGTGGGAAACTTGAGCCCTAAAAGGAAACGAGCAGAGCTAAAGGGCTGGATATCACAAGGGATTCACTTTTATTTTTAGAATTGCACTATATTGCCATATTTGGCCTGAAACTATGCTGTATCAATGCACTATTGTATCCAATTGCAGTGTCTAACTAGTCCAAATTTGTCTAAATTATTCAGGTTTTTTCCACAAATACTCTTTATCTGTGAATGTTCTGGGCAAGTGCTGACTCCAGGTAACACATTCTGCAGGCAGCATTCCTTGTGGGAAGTTAACAAGTACATTACTCTGTAAGTGTGGTTTGTGTCACTT